GGAAACAGGCAAGTTAGACTCCAACAGCAAGTTCTTTACACAGAGTCCTTTTTCTCTCCTACCATTATCACCACTCCACCAGCACTGCTGCCTCTCCAATGCTCTCTACTGTCTCTACCATTACCTGGGGCTGGTTCCCTCCTGGCTCCTAACTGCCCTGAGGAATATGCTTGTGGCAACTGCTTGGTGCATGGCATTGCCTCCTCTGTCTGCTGGCTTGGTTTATCTCTTCTGATCATGCACATGCCTTATCCTATTTGATTAAAAACACACACACACACACACAAGTTAGAAGATAAAAATTATTAATAATTTTAAGAATGTGACAATTAAGACGAGCACTGGGACCTTTTGAGAGTTGACATGCCCATGAAGCCTGTCCTGGCAGCAGCCTAAGCTGTGGTGCAAATTGCTTTTCTGTTTGGGCTATGCACTCTGGCATGTGCCAGTAGTGGGAAGAGATGCAAGGTAGAGAAAACCCCTGAGAAAATTGCAAGGTTTTAGAGAAAGGTCATGCTCCCCTGAGAAAATTGCAAGGTTTTAGAGAAAGGTCATGCTATCTATCACATGGATAGGCATATGGAATCTATAGCAGGAATTACACATCATTTGAAAAACAGCTCCTGGTGTACTAGGAACTTTAATCTATGAGGTATCAAATGACTATACTTCCTGAAATACTTATGAGTTGGGTTCTTTTGGATCCACCAAGTCATGGAGTTGGTCAAGACCAGCCATAAGCCTTCCCAAAAGGAAACAATACAGGACCCTGCAGTATCAGAGGACACAAACGAATGCATGAATACATAGAACTTCAGATACCCGTGTCACTCATTATGGTTATGCCAGTGCTCCTATCTTACCTCACCCCCAGGGACCAGAATGACCAGATGAAGGGGAAGGAAAAAAAACAAAGCTTGGTTTATGGATTGAAGAACTTGGGATATGAATGGAGGTGGAAATGGTTGGTGGCTGCATCACAGCTTTACTCAGCATTGGTCTTAAGGACAGGGGTAAGAAAACCATCCTAATGGGCAGAGCTCTGGGTGGTGTACCTGATCATCTGGTAGGTATGGAAGGAGAAATGGTCTTAAGTTAGAATTTATATATGGGCTCATTGGCAGTGCTGCTTGGCCTTGGCTGGCTGATCATAATCCTGGAAGGAAAAGGATCAGAAGAATGGAAATAAGGAGGTTTGGGGTAGTGACACATGGATAGGCATATGGAATAGGCACAAAGTGTGAGGTTCTTCGTATCATATGTTTATGCCCAATGGAAAGCATTCACTGTGGAAGAGGTACTAAACAACAACTTAGACAAAATAGCCTGGCTAATGGGTATTAGACAGACATTGTCAATGGCTATTCGAGTGCTGTCATGATAGGCACGTCACTTCCTCTTCAAAAAAATGTTACTTTAATACAGGTATCAAGAGATTAAATTTTCAGCTGATATGCATTGAGCAATCACACTGTAAAGGAAAGGATATATTCTGTTACTTTAATATCCAGTGTAGTAATAATAAATAAAGTGGTAGTCAAATTAGATATTCAAAATTCCTATCAGTGTCAAATTTTCTGATTTAAATACTATTCAACATCAACATCTCTTATTTATTGATTATCTGCTACTTATTAATATGCTTTACTAAGGCCTGTGTAAGGTTTGATGCTTTTTAAAAAAACAATTTTTGTGTCAGTTTTATTGAGGTACAATTAATACAGTAAGATTTGCCAATTTTTTTTGTGTGTCTACGTGGTGCTGGGGATTGAACCCAGAGTCCCTGTGCATGCAAGGCAAGCACTCTACCAACTAAGCTATATCCCCAGCCCAGATGGATGGCTTTTAAAAGTATTAAAAACCATTTTTTTTAAAACCTCTCATTCCATCCTTTTGGATTGAAAAATATAAGCATATTCCTCATGTATAGTTCTGAATTGAAAATACAGACTGCATTGTATTCCAAGCATATAAGTTAATTATAAACAAAAAAATTAAAGAGCAAAATTGAGTTCCCATGAGGATGAACCAAAATGCAGCAATAAGCTCTTGTATTTTTCTTCTGACTCAGGGAATGAGTAATCCTTGAAAGATTAGAGTAAAAGGTTAACTGCTGGGTATTAGAAACTGCCCATCCCAGAAATAATCATAACATTCCTCATAGCAATTCAGACTTTAATGGGTATTTGCACATGCTAAAAAAATTGTAAAAATGGTGAGAGTTTTGTAAAGGTGGTTTCAAATAATGGATATCTGAAGGATATGGTGAGACCCTTGTTACAGGTTTGGAAATAAATGGTCATAATACATAGATTGTACATGAGATTTTCATAAATTGCATTCTAGCAAATTGAACTCAGGGATAGGTGCTTTTTAGTTCCTTATAGTGCAGTATTGGAATTTGTATCCCAGTTGTATCTGATATAAACTTATTAGAACAATTAAACATTAAAACTAAATTTCCAAATTAAAATACTAATTATTATCAGCAGCATAATTAACTTAGTACATTTCATTTTAGCTATTAGTCTTAGAATTAACAATTAGTTTTGACAGTTATGTTCCATTAGATCAATGGTTTCCTTATATCCAAGAGTAAGCCTTAGCACTTCAAAGTTCTTATTTGGGGAATTCCCAGTCACCTGGCAGCAATAATGTGCCATGGAAAGGGGACTGCCCTTTGCCCACACCTGTACAGGATTCTCTTTAATGTAACTCGCTTTTCTTTGGAAGGTAGGTAATTGGCTGGTATTTTTCTAGTTTTTATTTTATTCACTCAATTAATTCAGAAAATATTTATTAATCACCTGCCAGGGACTGCTCTAAGTGGTGGGCATATATCAATAAACAAAATTGACAAAAATTCCTGCTCTCATAAGCCTATATTTTTGTGGAAGAAGACAGATTTAAAAATCCATGAATTATGTGGTATGAAGGAGCATGATGAGTACTGTGGAAAAAGAGAACAAAGAAGGGAAATTGGGAATGCTGGGGGATGGGGAGCTGCAGTCTAGGTGGTCAGGGAGGTACCCCCTGAGGATATTTAAGCAGACACCTGACCCAGGTAAGAAAAGAGTTATATAGATATCTGTGGGTAAGTACAGTGACCTTGACCCTGCTTGCCTTCTTAGTTTTTAGTTTGCCAATTTCCTCTTTACTAGTAATTTGGAAATGATGGGAAATGGTTAATAATTTTGAAGTTTTGATTAATTTAGAAATCTGAATGTTAATGACTACTGTTTTCTTAGCCTCTTTTTTTCATTCTCTGCTCACTTTGAGTTTCTTTATAGTTCCTGGTAGAAAAACCTTAAATAATAAGAAGAATAATGAAGACCAGTAGTTACAACACATCTCTTCTTAGTGGAAGGAGATAGAAAGGGCTGGGAAGTCAATGAAGAGAGATCTAATTTCAGCATTTGCTTCTATGAAAGTCCTGCTTGTTGCAAAGTTTGGCCTATGAAGAGGGCTCTTAATACTTATTCAATGCCAGGGACAATAGAGAAAAAAAAAAGAAATTCAAACACAAAACAACAGCAATATATTAAATACACACCCTCCATTTCATATATTTAACATAAATGCTAGCAGAAGTTAATGTGTTGCAAAAACCATAAAAATATTTCCAGTATAATTTTAAATTCTAGATATCTAAGAGGAAAAGGCACAAAGCTTCACTTTTCTTTATATCAAGACCAGTTTCAAAAAGGGTTCTATTTGTTGTCCTGGTGGTGTCAAGTGATGACAACCAGGTTTCTACTTATAGGGTCAGCCTCTCTTATGAAAATGCCTTTAAATATAAGAAGTGTGCTGAACACACAGAAAGCACTATTGTTCATGCTATGTGTTGTTCCCTCTGTTAGAAGGATGCCCAACTATTTAAACAGCATTATACTAACAGATATTCTTCCATAATGAAAGCCAGGCACTTCAAGCTTCATTCTTTGTCATTCTTTGTGAACGGGCAAGTTATTTAGCCTCTTTCCCTCAGTTCCCTCATCTGAAAAGTGAGGTTAAAGTAGTGCTTACCTGCTTTATAGTATTGAAGTGAGGATTAAGTGGGATAATTCATGTAAATCATAAAGAACAGTGCCTGGAGTGCAAAAAAGTGCTAAAAATGTTGATGATTATTAAATTCATAAAAATATCTAAGGTGGAGGGGCACCTCAATTATCTTCTACTGAGCTCTAGTGTAAAGACATCTTTCAGAAGCATAATTTTACTGTTAAAACTGGTGCCGTCAACTTATTAGTTTGATCATCTCATGACTATTTATTAAATCCTCATTCTGTATTATGTCGTGTCAGGGAATTAGTTGATGTTAATCAGTACTTTGTTTTTCACCGAAAGAAAAAAGTTCTCAGCGTTATTAAATCCCAAGTATATGCCAGGTGTTCAGAGTTTTGGAAAAGTTTTTGTCAAAAACTAAACTAGAACGCCTTCAAAGGCTCCCAGATGGCGAGGGAAGGTGAGAAGGGCTGGGCATTGTGCCCGCGTATGGGAAGAAGTTGTTTCTGACCTCGGCCTATTGACTGGCGCTTAAAACCCTCCCGGGCATTATATCAAACTGGTAGCTCAATAAGATGCAAGAGTTGCCCTCATTTTGAGTTAAATCACGTGCTTAAAAGTGAAGGTGGCAGCGGCCAGAGAGCCCATCCCCCTTCGGGCTGACGGCTTCATCCTGCTCCGGCTCTGGCCACATCCTGCTCCTTGACACTCATCAGAGAGCGCTCTCTGAGAAGTGGTGCCTCACCGGTGGCAGGTGTCCCCAGGTAACCCGGCGGCGTGGAGGTCCCCTTTCGCCGGACACCACAGCCCAGCTCAGCGGATTCCGGGCGGGCCCCGGGAGGGAAGGTCTGGCTGCCTCCGGAATCCGGAGCCCGCTGGCACTGCGCCAGGCCCAGGGCACCCCAGGCGGGGACGAGGTCCACCTCCTCCCGGAACTGGCCGGCGCCGCGAGGCGGGACCGGCGGCCAGCGCGGGGCTGCGGAGCGCCGGGGGCCATGGAGGTCCTTCCCGCCGGCGGGGGTCGGACGGAGCGCCCCGAGCGGGAGTTCCGCGGCGGCGGCGAGGCGAGGCTAGAGCACGCGGTGGAGGAAGCGGTTCCTGGAGTGGCCCGGACTGTACCCCCGCAAGGGTCGGCGGAGCGGCCGCCCGGCTCCCGCGGCTCATGGGAAGGCGAGGAGGAGCCGGAGCCCGAGCCGGGCCAACAGCCCCGCGGCCGCACGAGCCGCACGGCGTCCCTGGTGAGCGGCCTGCTCACCGAGCTGTACAGCTGCACGGAGGAGGAGGAGGTGGCCGCCGGGAGCCGCGGTCCGGGGGGCCGCCCGCGGCGCCGTGACAGCCTGGACAGCTCCACCGAGGCCTCGGGCTCCGACGTGTTCCTGGGCGTGCGCGGCGCCGGCGACTCTCGCGTGCTGCAGGAGCTGCAGGAGCGGCCGAGCCAGCGGCTCCAGATGCAGTACCTGCGGCAGAAAGGTGAGTCGGGGGAGCGGGACTCCTGCGCTCACCTGCGAGCACCTGAACCGAGAGGCCGAGAGATCCGCTATTAAGTTCTGGGTGTCTCCTCGAACTGACTCTGGTGCCTACATGGTCACACATTCATGACTGCGCTAAGCTCTTATGCCCCTTCTCCCATCCTCTCTCCAGGTGTCCCTTAGAGTATCAGTTGTTGGAATGGTCGGGGTCTCTCCTCCCACTTTCCCCCAAGTGTTTGTGGAGGCCCAAGGGAAGAGGCAGCCAGAATCCTAATTTCTACTGAACAGCTGTCAGGACTGGGTTGGAGTTTCTGCTACGTATACCTGAAGTTGCCTAGAGGACGCTGGGAGAATAGAGATGACGCCTAGGGATTTTTTTTTTTTTTTTAAGTCCGCTTTCTCTAGCCACACTATTTAGTGTTTAACTAGTGAGGCAGAATAATTCGATAATGTGGTTTCAAAAGCAGAGCGTGCGAATTCCATTTCCACCAGAACGCAAGGTTCCGAGCTGCTCGCTAGGTGTTTTGTTCTGTTCACCGGTTCACCGTGGCGGATTAGTGGAGAGTCCTAGAGCATTGGCTTCATTGCAGAATAACTCCTGGTACCTTCCGTTGGCATGGAGAGGCTGATCCCACAAAATGGCCTTGGCTTCATGGGAGGAAAGGCTAATTTGGTGTTTCTTTTGTTATCAAACTCTGAGGCTCGTGTCCTGTTGAGCCTCCCCCCCCCCCCCACCTGTTCATAAAAGCTTGCCTCTCAAGCACGAAGTTATTACAGTTGTCCTTTTTCAGAGATATAATAAGATCTCAATTTACAAAATTTAGTGAGATGTGAAAAACAGAAGCTAAGCCACTATAACATTTCTTGGAAGTAATGTCCTTGTACTAAATGAGCAGGGGAGGGATGCAAGAGTACTATGTGATGGTCTCCTATCTTCTCGTTACAAAAATCAGTCTAGCTGGTTCCAGGAAAAACAAACAAATAAATAATAAAGCTGGCTGCTTTCTCAAATCTATGTGAACAGCTTTCAGCTTCCTCTTTTGGCTTCCTAGTGAAGATGTTTTTTCCCAGCTGATTGTTACAAATGACTTCCACCTTCCTCCCCCATGTTGGCCTCTGGCCGGAGTTAGGCCATTTCATTTTATACAGTTATTTGGCTGTTCTTAGAGTGTGTGTTGATTCCAAAAGTTCTGTAGGGCAATAACTTTTCAGATTTCAACACAATCAATTTTGAAGAATTATGATTTGTCTTTCTCTTTTTACAAGACTTACTTTTAATTACTATGAGAGTTTTGGTGATTAGTAATTTCCTTTTGGAAGAAGAAAATTGGCAAGCTAAAGTTAAAGAGAGGTAAGTGGTACAGCTTTGCAAGTCAACTTCAGATGAATGACCTCTCTACTAATTATTCACAAGACCTATAAGAGTCTGTTTTGCCCCAGTTTCAGTCTTATTATGTACCTAGTACCCTGCTAATCCTTTTTTTCTCTTGTAGTCAGCTGTATTAGGATGACAAAGATGACCATTTTATAATGGTACACATTCATTGTTTGCCGCAGTCCGGCTGCAGCAAAATAACGGGGGTGTGTGTGTGTGGGGGGGGGGGGGTGTGACGAGCAACTTGTGTACATTGATACAGCAGGAGTGGGAGCCGTTTATTGTAGGACAGGAGGGGTATATATACATTCCACACAGCTTATCTTAATTAACATAAACTAGATACAGCAGTCAACCAATAAGGAATCTCCACACTTAATGGCTTGCTGGGGTTACTTTACAAACCACTCCCTCTGGCAAAATGCCAGGCGCCATCCTGACTTATTTATTAGCAATTGTTAGGGTCTATAAACATCATTAGAATGTTAGATTAAGAATCAGGTGATGGATACAGCTGTTTGCTTAAATAATGCTAATTATTAAGTCATGTGATTTTTCTTTAAGGGTCAAGTAGTAAGCAGCACATGCCTGTAATCCCAGTGACTCAGGAGGCTAAGGCAGGAGGATCACAAGTTTGAGGCCAGCCTTAGCAATTTAGCAAGGTCCTAAGCAACTTAGCCAAAATAAAAAAATAAAACTGTCTAAAAATAAAAAATAAAAAGGATTAGGAATAAACTACTCTACATTCAATAAGAGAATGTAGCACCTATTTTGATATTTAACATGTGGCTCTTTCTTTAGGTGAGGTACCAAAATGGTTTCTCAGGAAATCTGGACTGTCAGTATTCCCATGGTCAAAGGGATGAACTTTGGAGTTAGACTCCTGGGTTGATATCCCACCAGTGTTCCTTACTAGCTGTGTGACCTTGGGCAAGCTGTTTAATCTTTCATTTTTTTGTAAATAAGGATGATAATAATAATGGGTCAGAGGGCTGTGGTGAGAATTTCATAAGTTAATATGCATAAAGTGCTCAATGAATGCTAGAGATTATTTTTGTTGTCATATACACTAGAATTCCTTAGAGAGGAAATTGATCACAGGTGACAATTTTCTCAGTTTTTCCTCAGTTACTTAATACTGTGAAAGGGGCAGTGGCTGGTGTAGGGCATTCAAAAATGTAGACCCACTTCTGTCCCTGGGATGTTTTGATACTGGCTGATATTATTGGAGAAGACATTTCCACACTGAACTCTGAAAATTCTTCTCATAAACAGTGTATATAATTCAGAGAATGACAGAGCCATAGATACCTAGGAGTTACTGGGAATGAGATAGGGTTTTCCCATTATCTCATGCTTTTGTGAATGTTAGTTTTAAGAATGGAGACTTTGGAAGGCTGAGGCAGGAGGATGGCGGGTTCAAAGCCAGCTTCAGCAAAAAGCGAGGGGCTAAGCAACTCAGTGAGACCCTATCTCTAAATAAAATACAAAATAGGGCAGGGGGTGTGGCTCAGTGGTAGAGTACTTGTGTGAGGCACTGGGTTTGATTCTCAGCACCACATATAAACAAATAAATTCATAAAGTTCCATCAATAACTAATAAAAATTAAAAAAATAAATAAAATACAAAATAGGGCTGGGGATGTGACTCAGTGGTTGAGTGTGTCTGAGTGAGTTCAATCCCTGGTACAAAAAAAAAAAAAAAAGATGTATACTAATTTATCTGTTAAAAGGAAATATATTTTCTATTATATATGAAAACTTACCAAGTCTCTAAAAATGAAATATTATATTATAATATTATACCTGATAGGCTGTTTGAAGATTGTGTAACACAAAGTCAGTATTACTACATTCCTCTACATTGCAAAATGTGGGAAAATCATTTAGAAGGATGATAATTTACAAGGATAAATAGTTTAAAAGAAAATTTTAATCAGCTATTAAGAATCTTTTTTAGTTTTTTACATTAATGATTAACTTATCTTACAGGCTTACCACCTGAGTACTTTAATAATACAAAAAAATGTACATACCAACTGGGTGCAGTAGCTTGGGAGGCTGAGGCAGGAGGTTTTCAGGTTCAAAGCCAGCCTTAGCAACTTAGCCAGGCCCTAAGCAACTTAATATGTTTCTTTTTTGGGGGGCGGGGGGTGCCAGTGATTGAACTCAGGGACACTCAACCACTGAGCCACATCCTCAACCCTAGCACTATTTTGTATTTTATTTAGAGACAGGGTCTTACTGAGTTGCTTAGCACCTTACTGTTGATGAGGCTGACTGTGAACTCGAGATCCTCCTGTCTCAGCCTCCTGAGCCAATGGGATTACAGGCCTGTGCCACCATGCCCGGCCCTAAGCAAGCAACTTAATGAGACCCTGTCTCTAAATAAAATTTAAAAAGGGCTGGGGATTTGACTCAATAGTTAAGCACCCTTGGGTTCAACGCCTAGTACCCCTTCTCCCCAAAAGAGAAAGAAATAAGAAAAGTACATGCCAGATTTCAGAAGCAACCAGAACGAGGAATGATAAAAACAAGAATCATTGCTTATATGCTACAGTAGCCTCAAGGGTTAAATTCACAGCATTTACCTCATGAATAGAACAGGAGATGAATAAGTGGCTTTTTTGAGGAACGTCTTAGATGAATGCATGTATGTAATATTGGGAAGAACCTAGAATTGGTTGGCTTAAATGAATGTTCTAGATATTTATCTGTTGACCAGTATCACATTGAAATTTATATTCCTCTCAAGGTATTTATTGTTCTTTCTATTTTTCTTTCTTTATAGACCATAATGAATTGAAGACGATCCTTCAGGAGCTCAAGTACAGAATTGGCATTCAGTCGGCCAAGTTACTTCGGCAGCTGAAGCAGAAAGATAGGCTTTTGCATAAACTACAGAAGAACTGTGATATTGTGACTGCCTGCCTGCAGGCTGTGTCTCAGAAGAGAAGTAAGTACTGGAGAGGGGCAATAAGCATTGTGTTTTTGAATATTTTGAAAAATTCTGCAGGGGTGTTCATACTCTGGAACCAAGAACCATGAATAACTCAGCTTTTTTTTTTTTGTTTTTTTCAGTTCAAATGAATACTTCATGCCTAATGTTACCTTAGTTTTATTATTCCAGACTTGAGGTAGTGCTTCACTTTGACAATGGTTATTTTTACTGGATGCTAAATAATGACAAAAATCTTTGTTTTTCAAGTAGACATAAACTAAAAGCCATGTCCTTGTTCTCTTCATCTCTGTATTGCTCCAATAAGTGAATTAGACAATTGACCTAAACAAGGAAACTCTTGTAACAGGATCTTACAACTTGCTCTGAAATCTGAAAAGAACAAAGCATTTTAACAAATGAAACCGGTCTCTTGGGTAATCCCCTTATGACTTATAGCTTCATGGCATGTTAATTGAGTTAAAAATAGTTGAATTATCTGATCCATAGTAATACTAGATATGAAAGCTTGTGAATTAATTTTATAATATTCCATTCGATAATTTTACATTTTACTCTGCTAACATGTCCCTGTTTTTGTTTTGCATTTTTTTGTTAACATGCAGCATGGCAGAACAGTATGTTCAGGTATGGTAAATATAGGCACTGATAGTGTGTTTTGATAAAATGCCTGTGGCGATTTTTCAGGTGCATGTGAAAATTGCCTTTTCTTGCTTGTTTATTCTATCACATTTTATATGCAAAATAGCACATCCTAGAGATTTAAAAAATATTCTAAATTAATGTTTTTTTTTTAATGAAGCAATTTTTAGGGCTTGATTAGTTTCAGATAAAAAAATTAATGGCTTAAATACCATTGTCATATTTATCACTAAAAGAAAATCCTGTGTTTTCTTGTTTGTCTTTTGATTATATTGCTGCTTATTGTCCCCCAAACTATAAAGGTTTCACTTAATGTGTGTTAAACAGAATGCCACTTGGTTATCATAATGATGCCGCTATGGACTATACTAAGTGGGAATGTGATCGACAAGATTGGAACCGAACAGGGCTTTCTCTGAGTCAGGCATTTTAATGAAATGGCTAGAGCAGGAAGAAGGGCATGTGTGTGGTGGTGGGGGAGGTTATGTGCATGTGTGCATGCATCTGTATCAACCTATAACAAATTGGCATGTTATAAGTATATGGTAGTTTTTCATGGATTCTGATCGATTCAAAAGTGTCAAGTAAAAATTATTTTTCCCTTTTGTTATAAGATACTGTGATATTGACTTTCTCCTTTCAATTGTGTGTTTGTGTACCTATTGTTTGTACCAGAAGTTAAAGGCATAAAAGGGTAAATGTATGGATGTCCCCCCTGCATTCCTCCTCCCTCTAAGGATTGACCCCAAAACTTCGCACATGCTAGGCAAGTGTTCTACCACTAAGCTATATACCCAGACCTTATTTTTTTAAATTAACTTTGAAATGTGATCCCATGAAGTTACCCAGACTGACCTTGAACTTTCAATAATCCTCCTCAGCCTCCCAATTATAAGAATGAGCCACTGTGCCTAGCAATACACGGAGTTTTAGTGTGTAGTAAAGTCTAAGAAAAGATGGATCAGGTGTCAGCACACAGAGAGGAACATTAGACAAGGTCATGAATGGGTGGACTGTATTGGTAGTTACTAGGGACTAATAATCATGTGGAATTTAAATTACTTGATTGATAGAAGGACTGGCAGTTATGTCTTTTTATGGCAAATGTGCCCACAAGTATCCAACCTAATTTGTGAATCTGTGAATGCATCCTTCCTATGTATTTTAGAGTTTGTCTCTTCAATTTCAGCCAGAGTTTTGCGTTTCAGAGAATATGGAGTTATCTGGCTGCCTTCCTTGAAAGCTTACTTCTCACCTTGGTAATATGACTATTAAATAGAACAGTGTTTTTTTTTTTTTTTTTTTTAAATAAAGAGAGTGTGTGAGAGAGAGAGGGAGAGAATTCTTCAATATTTATTTTCTAGTTTTCGGCGGACACAACATCTTTGTTTGTATGTGGTGCTGAGGATTGAACCCCGGCCGCACGCATGCCAGGCGGGCGCGCTACCGCTTGAGCCACATCCCCAGCCCTAGAACAGTGTTTTTTATTAACCAATAACTACATTAAAATTATTGTCATAGTATGGTACTGCACTATGATGTAGCCAGTTAAAATTTTGACTAAATGGTTATTTATCAATTTTAGAACTCCAGAGGTTAGATGTTTTGTGACTAAATGCTTAATTCCAGTAGTTGCACATTTTACCTCTTCCCTGAACATCAATTAATAATAAATACATTTAACTAGAGTTCTAAAAAGCTGAGATTTCACCATACATCGAATAACTGAACTTTCATTTTGTAGTGGTTGACAGTGATGAATTCAGATAGAACATGTTATGTTAACTTATATGTATTCAACATGCAAAAGTCCAGGTAATTTCCATTTCTGCCTGCATATGGATTTGATGCTTATAAATCTTTGCAAAAGTGATTTTTCCCCCTACCATAGAATGCTACATAATGGGTTATTTCTCATTAATACATCAAAGAGAACATAATAATTTTGAAACAAGAATCAGGAGTAAATGTGCATCATGATCAAAATGACTAGATCATTTTTATTTCTAACACAAATGATATAACTGCTTAGACTTTATGGTTTCTTATGCCACGCCTCGTGGTAGTTAGCATCTCTTTGTTTTAAAACTGGGGTGGACATAAAAAAAAAGCAACATCAATATTTATCTTATAGAAGAGCACATTTCTCCCCCTATATTCATCTAAGGAAAATTATTGGCATAAACAACTTAATATTTAAAATAAGATTTAAAAGAACAACAGCAGCTGTTATTTATTGAATACATGCTTTGTGCCAAATTATTGCTTTTTTTTTTTTTCCTTATTGAGACTCCAAAAGCATGTTTTTTTTCTTGTTTGTTTGTTTCTTTTTGTGCCAGGGATTGAACACAGGGGCACTTAACCACTGAGCCACATCCCCATCCCTTTTTTATATTTTATTTAGAGACAGGGCCTCACTGAGTTGAGACTGGCGTTTAACTCATGATCTTCCCGTCTCAGCCTCTGGAGCTGTGGGGATTACAGGCCTGGGCTACCGCACCCAGCTAAAAGCATGTATCTTTATGCACATTTTATTAGGACACTGAGATTCAGAAAGTTTAAGTAATTTGCCTAAGGTCACATAGCTAATAAGGGAGTGAGAAAGAATTTGAAGGTAAAGTCTCAAAAGTAATGTGGAAAGGGGCTGAGGTTGTGGCTCAGCGGTAGAGTGCTTGTGCAAGGCCCTGGGTTCAATCCTCAGCACCACATACAGATAAATAAAATAAGTGTATTGTGTCCAACTACAACTAAAAAATAAATATTAAAAAAAAGTAATGTGGAAAGAAAGAAAAAGGAAAAAAAAAGTCTCACAAGTCCACACTTTCTAACCATGAACTGTGATATAGAATTTTCTAGTTTTTTCTTAGCAATTAGATAGACAACTCTATCAACTCTATAATATTATTGGAATGTTGCTGAACTATAAGAAATTTGTAACTTGCAAAGGACACAATAAAGAGTTCAGGTTTGTTAGAATGTGTTGCTTCAGCATAGTTTGCATATGAAATAAGTACTTTATCTTTACTTGTTTAAATGGATTATACTGAACAATTTTGATGTTAAGATTTTTATGTGGTTAGCTTAACCTGTTTTTCCTGAAAGTAGATGGAGATCATATTAATTATTAGCATTGCACTGTTTTACAATTTTCTGCCTTGGTGTAATAAATGTTTAATTTATGCTGGTTGAGTTTGTGAAATGGTATTTTAAATCAAAAAATAAAATGTAGCTGGCTCTTGAAAATCGTGGGAAGAGAAAACATGAAAAAAATGTGAATATACATAGAAATATTGTCTTTGTTCTAGCTTTGCCAATAAATACAGGAATTTTACACAGTTTACAACCCCATTGTATTAATGCATCTTTGCTGGCATCCTAAATTTCACTATCTATTATAAATGCCTGGCAGAGGCTCATGCCTTGTCAGGTAGGGCCATCTTTGTTTTGCTTTTCTTCTGCCTGTCTTCTCTGATATAATAATTTGTCCTTTGTAGAAGGAAATGGTATTTGTGCAGCCCCGAGTTTGATGGCACAGAAAGTCAACATTTTCCACTAAAAATCAGTTTTCTGTGTGTGTATTTTTAAATTATAAAATTCATATACTCAACCAAAAATCTATTCCTACATATCTACTGAAGAGAATTGAAGAAACATGTTCCCACAAAAACTTGCACACAAATGTTATATTATTATTATTCATAAGAGCCCAAAGTGGAAATAACCCAAATGTCTATCAGTGGATAATGAGTAAGTAAAATGTGGTAATATCTATTCAATGGAATATTTCTAAGCCATATAAAGAAAGTACTAATGTATGTCACAACATGGATAAACCTTAAAAACATTTTTTTAATCTAAGTGAAAGAAGCCAGACATATAAATCCACATATTGTACATTCTATTTGAAATGACCAGAGTAGGCAAGTCTGTAAGACAAAGTAGATTAGTGGTTACTAGGGGTTGGAAAGGGTGGAACAGAGTGGAATGGAGAGTGACTGCTAATGTTATAGATTTTTTTTTTCTTTTTCTTTTTGGTACTGGCGATTTAACCCTGGGTTGCTTTACCACTGAGCTACAGCCCCTTCCATTTTTATTTTTTATTCTGAAACAGGGTCTTGCTAAATTGCTTAGAGCCTCCCTAAGTTGCTAATTTGCTGAGGCTGGCCTGGAACTTGGAATCCTCCTACTTTAGCCCCTTGAGTTGTTAAGCTTACACCTGTAAGCTTAACAACCCAGCTAGATTTCTCATTGGGGTGACGAAATTTTTCTGGAATTAGATAGTGTTGATGGTTACTTTGTGAATATCACCAATATATGTATTGTCAAAAAGGATTAATTTTATGGTAAATGAATTA